CACCTTGTAGTGACCAGTGGCCTTCCAGTACCTGAAAGATGCCTATAAGAAAGCTGGGGAAGAACTGTTCACAATCGCATGTAGCAATAGGACGAGGGGTAATGGTTTTAAACTAGAAACAGGTAGATTTAGGTTGGATATTAGGAAAAAGTTTTTCAATATGAGGGTGGTAGATCATTGGAACGGGTTGCCCAGAGAGGTAGTGGAGGCCCTATCCCTGGAGATATTCAAGGTCAGGCTTGATGGGGCCCTGAGCAACCTGCTGTAGTAAAGGTGACCCTGCTTACTGCAGGGGGGGTGGACTAGATGACCTTCGAAGGTCCCTTCCAATCCAATACATTCTATGATTCTATGATTCTAAAGCAAAGTGTTAAGCTCTTTAGTATAAAACCATTATGGAAAAAATTGCAGAAGAAAAGCGTAAAAAATATGAAAACACGGATCTTAATTTTCCCTCTCTCACGCTGATGCACCCCTCAGCTGCAGAAGCTGAAGGTCCAGCTCAGCAACACTCTGCTTTCAGAGTGGGACCTCTCTGAGGCATATGAAGACACAGAGGTGGGAAAACCATCCTTTCATCTCCCCAGTCTATAGAACTTCTCCAGCCCACATGTAAGCTAGCAAACAGGAAAGCTGTGTCCCACTTGCCTTGACCTGCTGGGCAGCTCACCGATGGTTCCCAGAGCAGCTACTCTTGCTGAAATTGTTCAAGGTGGATTCCACCCTCCCCACGTCTCCTGAGATTTTTTAAATGTATAAAATGCAGGTGCCTTTTAGAGGTACATATATTCTTTGGTCCAATACAATCACTGAAGAAGCATGGTTGTGGCCAAGGCAGTGCTGTGCAATCTTGTAAGAAAAGCCCAGCTAGTCACCTGAACCACTGCCATTCCCTCTCTATCTGTGGGTGTGTGCTTGCATTTGAAGTAGGATTTATTTCTTGGCAACAGGAATTTTCGCCTTCCTTTCACTGTAATTTGGAGTTACAATGATGTAAGACCATGTAAGGGTGTTGCTTTGAAAAGTTTACACCAGGCCACAGACATGAAATTTCATTACATCATCGAGTCACCAGTCCACAGTCATTGCTTTAAAATTATGTGGATTTTAAAAAAAGAAAGTTGGAAGCGATTTTTCTCATTTGTCGTCTGGCCTCTGAGCCTTTACAGGTGCACTAATTCTCCATTGGCAAGTTTTTTCCATGCGTTCAGGAGGATAAACATGCTTTTTTTCTTTTCTTTTCTTTTTTTTTTTTCAGTATAAAAGTTGTTCCTTTAAAGAACAGAGTTAGGATTTGGAGCCTAAGGCAAGCGCTGATCAGCTAGACCTGCCATCCTCCTCCTACTGAGAGTGGCCTGAGACCATGAAGTCTCACTGGTGCTCCTGTCTGAAGGGCAGCAGAGCCAGTGGCCACGCAGGAGGATGATCACACCTCTCGCCCAGTTAATTGCTCTGATTTGTGGCTTAATCTTCACTGACGCCCACTGCAGTCGAAATCACCCCTGTGCACATTGCCTTTTGCTCCCTATACCTTAAATATTCCTTGCCAACATTTCCAGCCCTGTAAGTTGCGCCTCTTTTAAAAGATAAAGTGTTTTAATAATTGAGCAGTACTGTTAATAACTTACCCAGCTTTGCTAAGCCTTTAATAGTTAAAACCTTAATAAGTAAAGCGCATCAGGTGGGTTTTTCTGCTTATCACCTTCCTGCAGCATAATGAGGTTTTTTAACTATTTAGGGAGGTTTAAATCTGTTGTATTAGGTTTATAGCTGGCCAATGGCAAAACAACCAACTCAGACATAATTCTAAATGGATGTTTCCAAGTGGAAACTTGGAATTTGAATTCAAACGACCTTACCTCTTATTGTTATTATTATTCTTTCCTGAATGAGTTTTTCAGCTTGCTTATTCTTAATTCCTTCAGTACTTATTACTGCAATAAGCCTAATCCTGTATACTTGTACACCCCAAGTGTGGAAGCCTTAAGTACTTCTGCAGTCTCTCCAGGGCAAATCAGCTGAAATTGGATCTCCAGTTGCTCCACCTAAAATAAAAAAGAAAAAAGAAAAAAAGAAAAAAAGGAAAAGAAGGAAAGGCACATTCCAGCAGAAGACAAGTCTGTGTTCATGTGTTTGTGTCTGTGCTGTCCTTGAGTAACGCTCTGTCCTTTTGCTCCACTGCAGGCTGAGTTTGCCGAGCTGAACCTGGCTGCTTATGTCATGGGCGGCTGCATGGTGGACATGCAGGTGATGAGGAACGGCACCAAGGTGGTAAGGTGAGGAGCACTAGCTTGTCTTGAAAATCAGGCTTTCTGGAGCAATGTTCTGGCAAGCAGGATGACCTCAGGGTCTGACTGGTATCTGAACTAGGGCAGCACAGTCCTGATGACTTCAGGGTTTCCTGGAAGTGGTGGAAAGACTGACCTGACTCTGGTGGTTTTGTATCCTATCTCAGTTGAACATTATGCCATACAGTTGTTGTTTCCAGCCCAGACCCTTCATGCAACCACAAGTGCCTCCTTTTCAGGTTCTTTTTAGCCTCAGGCCTCCCAATAAAAGGGACAATAGATGTTCCTTTCCCTTGATTTTTTTCTTTCCTTGGTGTCATCTAACCTTTGTTGTAAATAGTGGCTTGCATTCATGAGCCTGACTGTGTTAGGTCCTGATCCTAGTGGACTACTCTTGCAATAGCCACATAGCTTTTCCATGATCCTGATCCTCACAGCCTAATTTGCTCCTGAAATACCACCTTTTTTGCCAGAGATTCCCAATGCTCCAGCTTTGCCCTGTGGTGTATCTCAGAAGTAATACCATATCTCTGTTTGATGGGGATTTCCGTCCCTATTAACATGACTTCGTGTTTGCAGTCATTGCAAGCAGACTCTTCCTGAGCAATGCTTCCCCAATCATGCACCCAATTCACTTTCCAAAAGCATTGACCACCTTCTTACTGACATCAGAGAGCCTGCGATTTGGAGTTAACTTTAGATGCCTTCTTACTGGTGCTATATAAAGAACAATGTAGGTTGTCACATCTGCGTATGATGATAAAATGCTTCTCTTTTACATAGCCCTGATATTACCTTTCACCCTTTTATTCCCAAGCCTGCATCTTTATGAGTTTCTGTCATTATAACTTCCAACTCTGTATTTCAACTTTGATACAATAGCTTTTCTTTGTTCATGTTGAAATCTCATTGCCAATCCATTTCTCTAGCCTCTGCTTCTTTTTGTACAATTCCTGTGTGCTTTTTGGTGCATACAGCATCTCTGAGTTTAGTATTGTTCATACATTTAATCAATACTTTGTTTGCTTCTAGTTCAGAAATAGAGACATACAATATAGGATGCAGGGATATTTTTGAAAGGGATTATTAGAACAGCTGAAAAATGGTGATTCTGAGCATGCTGGCCTCAGTTTAATATCTCAGGATGTCATTTCCAGTCCAAACAGTGCAAAGCAACACTTGTCACTGTCAGTTAGCTATGACTGTGGTCCATCAATTCATTTCAGGTCTTGAAAGCTCTTAGTACGTCTACAAGTCTCGATTCATTCTTTGATACGGTTTCACAAGCCTCTGCTAAAAAATTTGAAGGTTGTCTGTTATATCCATTTGCTTTCTCTCGTCCCACAAATGTCTGTTTCTCAGCAAAACAAAGCATATATTCCATGAACCAGCCACTGAAGCATCCATCAGACCACTTAGTACTTAGCGCTGTACTAAGGCACTCTTGTGTTCGCTTGCTCATGACGCTGGATGATTTCCCAAGAACCATTCCTAGGTTGATCACATCTTCATTTTCCTTCCCGTGCCTTTCCCCAAAAGCCATTCATGCATCTGGCAGAAAGATCTTGAGCTATTAAACTGAAACTGAAGACAAAATTTATTTCACATCAGTGTCTGGGGCATGGTGTTCATGTTTCTGCTTGCAGTAAATACACATGTACACCTAGCCTTTTGCATGGCTATAGATACATGAAAATGCATGTTTTAATGAATGGTATTAATTCATTTTCGCTTGTTTGTTTTCATCTATGTGTGTTTAAGGACGTATGCATTTGTGTGGTGGGAAGTGGATTTGGCAAATATATACTTGCCTGGATACCCAATGTATATGGCATGTGCTGTGCATGGTTTGTTACAGTCCTTACAAGTTGTTAGCCATTTGTTTGATGTGCCTTGCTGATGTGCCCGTCCTGCACAACCCAGCGAGTTTAAGAGCTTAGGCCAGCCAACTTCCACAGTCACTCCTACCAGCACTTCAGAAGTTACAGAAATGAAAACTCTTCTTCACTTTAGAAGGTGAATTACGGATCATACTGCTGCTGAGCTGTGTGGAGAACCCTCAGCCCATCCACATGGATGCAGCTTGCTTCCCACTGACCCTAGTCCCCCATCCTGCCACAGCTGCATTCTCCCTGGCCAGAGCAGAGTGCCTGGCCACAGGGAAATGCCAAGTGGGACACCCTCCGCTCACATCTGTGCCCCAACCCTACTGATGGTGGCATATTTTTTCCATAACTTATTAGGCCTTTGTTAATTATTAAGCAAAAAATTCAGTCACAAGCCAGAATGTTTCTAGATGGTGAGATATATATCATGGGTTTTGAACACCCAGAATCCTTGAAAATCCCACTGACAAGTTATAAGAAGGAAATACAACCACATCTTGCTAACAGGCACATTCAGGATTCCCTCTCTGCAGAAGCCTTGCCTTCTTCAACTCCTCCTTGAAGTGAAGGCAAGAGAACATGGCAGTTTAGTCAAAAGATGGTGAATATACTACAAACCAGCAGATTTTAAATCAGTGAAATGATAAACATTTATAACAATGACAACAACGACAGTAATAATAATAATACTAATAATAATAATAATAATAATAATAATGAAGCAACCGCTGTGCTGTTCTCTCCAGTTTGAAATTATGTTAATTGAAAAACTACCTAACAATATATTTGCCTATAAAATTCTGTCATTTTGCAGCAGGTCTCCTAGTTCTTTCTTTAAACTGGGGACATTCTATTGCAGGTTTAAATCTGAGCTCTTTCTTTGCTGATCCCTTGATCCTTTCTGACTCCTTGGAGTTAAGCCATTCTTTTTGACCCTGTGCCAACTGATTTGAACTGCACCAGAAAAGAATTGCAGTTCTTTTACCTGGAAGATAAATCCCTTAATAAGAAGATATAACAGTCCTTGAAGCCCTACACTTACCACTTGCTTCAGTCAAATTTAAAAAACAGAAAGGAGCTTTAGAAGCATAATTGTCAACTAAAGATAACAAGGAACTGGAAGTATACAGACCTCCATAACTACTACTCTGTGTATCTTGAAACAAGCAGCTACAAGTAAATTAGCAAACAATATAACTGAAGCCAGACATTACTTTTCTTGTCTGATTCTTAAAACAAGTGTGGCTCCCAGATTTTAATTTTACAGTAACATTCTGGGTCCACACTTCCTCTTTTTTAGCTACTAAGTTTGCACATGTGTAGGATGGGGTGAAGGACTTGATAGTCTCAATTAAATATGCTACTGGAGGGAGAGAGACTATCATCTAACAAATCTAAAAAACTGCATGTGTTTTTTCTGTGCCACTCCACCATGGTATCTGACTCCATCAGCCTATTCAGCACATTTTCTTCAGAGTCAGAAGAAAAAGAGCTGGCTGTGGAGTATCTCATGCAGTCTCTAGCAAGCACTTTCCTATTTCAATGCCCCATAGCACGTGTCCTGACTGAGGACAGAGCAGGGGGATGAGCTGGGCACTGAAGCAGTGTTGGGCTCAGCCCAGGCTGACTGAGGGGAATCTCTCACATGTTGGTCCTTGTTACACCAGCACTTCTTTGGGTACAACTGGCACTGGAGTTCCCCCAGTGAAAAGCTAAATATAGGAAGCAGAAGGTGGCACTTATTCATCCCAAAGGATCCCTCACCAACTTAGATGTATCAAGCCCTTCAACAGAGAAAAAAAGTCCCTTCTGGGTGCAATGGCTGGACTGCTAATCAGTGTGAAAAAAACAAGCATGGGCTGGTGGCTGCTTTTAAAAAACTTCGGTGAGCTCCCCATCCTCCTTCCAGAGCATCCACAACTTCCTTTTGCACAGGTCTACACACACATACACACATTGAGTGAATTGTTTGGAGTCTAATTTATCTTAGAAAGCTCTTGGACTGTGTCACCTCTATTGGGTTTAGAATGGGATTTTAATTTTCACTTGTCTTCCTTTCTCTGAAGGCCCTTCATACCAATGCTTCCACAGTGCAAAGAGGCCGTCAGTGCTGGCTCTGCACCCACTCTGAGGTGCATTTATGCTTTCAGGATATTATAAGTGTCAGTATAAATGAGAATTTGGGCTGTCTCTGCTTCTGACAACACTTAGACTCCCAAACTATGATCTCAGCCTCTGCATTAGATTAAATGCAGTCCTGTGTTTGCCTTTTGGGCTTTACAAGCCTTCAGCTATTAATTCCAGTAGATGTGGGAATAAGGCAGGGATACGTTGAAAATCTGGACAGCTTTCTTACATGGGGAATATTAAAGTATTTGGGAGCATTTCAGACTTTTAAGGATATAAATTAATCATGCACCAGACTGCTCTCATCTCCAGTCTCCCCATGGAGCAGCCTTTTTTGCCATTTGGGCTGATCATCCAGGGCAAAAAGCACATTTTGATGTGTCTGCATGGGACCTACCACAGTGGTGGCCCTACCACTTATAGTGTGGTACACAGACTCACTATAATACCACAGCACAGACAACAGCTGATGGACCAGGATATGTCCAGTGTCTGAAATAGGGAGGACACTGCATGAAGCAATGGCCCCAGCAAGCAGGGAGGAGTGACAAAACTGACAGCAAAGGAAAGAGGAGCTGAGCACTGTGAACAAAGCCTTGCTATGGGCACAGATCTCTGCCATGGAGCAGCATTCAATCCTACAGGCCTTGCCTGAATTTGGGCAGTCTATATAAGAAGGTGTGTGTCTCGCCCTGCTTACCCTGGCTGATATGTCCCTGTCACTCGCAGCTGTGCTGAGGTCACTGAGTGCTCGATTCCTCTATACAAGCCCATTCATTCCTTTAATTAACACTGACTTTCCCATTGGTTCCAGCTGATTCACTGATTACACCATGCTCTGCACTCTGATAACAGGAAGGCAGCCTTTTGAATCACCATCCTGAATAGACCAGCACCTGAAAATGGTTTTTTCCCAAATTGTACTGCAAGCTGCAGTACAATCATAGCATTAGGAAGCAAATTATTTTACATGGAGAAAGCAGGGAAGAACCTGGCCAGCCCAGCAGCAGGTGTTTTCCTGCTATTCAGAGCTTCCAGACCCCAGTGTACTCCAGCTAAAAAAGGTCTGCCTGCTCCAAGGTACAAGACTTTAAAGCCCAGTGAGGATACTATCCCTTTCCCACTGCACCTTTTACCATCCCAGTGGGTTCACCCTCTCCACAGGACCAGTGACAATCTGCTCACTAAAAGAGGTATGTGGGTTTTCTAACCTACAGAGGCCAAGCTTTCTCCCCACACAGTAGCTGCACATTGCTAGGAGGTGGATATTTTCTTGTCTCTTCAGGACTATCCATTCACAAGTGTTGGTGGTTTCTTGCAGTTCTTCTACAGGGAGCATATGAAGGGAGGTCATGGGAGTAGCTACTGTCCCTGGACACTGATGTAAGGACATATCAGTAGGCAGTAGGTCACTTTCCAGCTTCTCATCTTCCAGGAAGCTTGTTTCAAAGAGGAAATCTATGCTCTGTCTAGTCCCCCTGATTTTTAATTTAACTCTTGATCTAATTGGAGGGGGGTTTGGGAATGTCTTTTTCTTTTTTTTTTTTTGTTTTTTTGTTGCTTCCAAACCAAAATTTTAAAAATTTCTGCAGAGATGTAGATGGGAGAAAAAAATGGGAGAAACTAATTAGGAGAGTTTTGGTTTCTAGAAGCCAGATGGAAAAACACGTTGGTTCTTCCGAGAGTCACAGAATGTGCCACACAGTATAGTACAATATGTTCTATATATTTAGCACTGAGCAACATTTGGGCAATATTTTTGTACTGATGGCATGACAATCTGTAAATGTAAAGGAGAAGTGTGTATAACTGTGTAAGTTTTTGAAACTGCCCTTTAGGCAAAACACCAATGTGTCAAATAACCACTTCTCTTACTGAAATACCCTGAAGAGACAATGGGCTGGGACAAGGTGTCAAAAAGGGTAGACCCTGGCAAGCTGCAGTTATACATGAAGCGTTTTAACACTTCCAGTAAACATTTATAAACCAAGAAATTATTCCCACATGGGGGATGATTTACCATCATCTATCACTGTTATCTCCCCTTCTTCACTTGCCCCTGTCCCCATCCGCTTTTTCTTTTTCTTTTCTTTTTTTTCTTTTTTTTTTTTTTTTGAGCAGGAGACTTTTATCCCCCCTTCTTCACTTGCCCCTGTCCCCATCCGCTTTTTCTTTTTCTTTTCTTTTTTTTCTTTTTTTTTTTTTTTTTGAGCAGGAGCTAAAGAAGAGAAGATAAATTGGGGTGTGCTTATTTATATATTTATTCTCAGTTGCTTCCACCTCAGCTCCTGCTGCTAAACAGATGCTTGGGGGCCTGCTTACTCCCTTTGGGGTTTACTGATCTCCCAAGATGAATAATCTCCCCCTTCACCTCCCCAGCAGCTGGCGCCCAGGCGACATGCAGGCAGGATGCTGACAGTTATTGGGAAAACATTTGGCGTGCAGGCAGCTGCCAGAAAGCAAAAGTCACTCTGAGCAGACCAGGGTGGGGAGCATCTCGGAGACTAAACTACTCCCTGGCCCTTTTCACATTTACAGTAATTCTTTCCAATAAGAAATGTGCTGCCAGGGCCTAGAGCACTCATTAATTAGTTAATCCTGGACTGAATGCAAGGATGATTAAAGACTGTTGTGGATTGTTTCAGTCTTGATCGGCTCTTTTTTATTTTCCAGTCCTGCCTTTGTTTGTCTCCTTTCCACATGGGCTTCTTCCAGGGAATGGCAAACAGAGAAGAGAAGGGCCAAGTCCTGCTGCACCTGCACTATACTGGCCAAAGTGGATCTTCATTAATGACCTGATATTGGGAGAGAGTGTAGCCTCAACAAGCTAATGAGTGGCAACTAAGTTGGAGGGTGGGGAGCAATAGATATGCCAGAAGGCAGAGCTGCCATTCAGAGGGACTTCCACAACTGGGCAAATGGGCCAACAGGAATCTCATAGAGTTCAATAGTGACAATCACAAAGTCTTGCGGTGAGGGAGGAATGACCTCAGTACTGCTGGGCTGCAGCTGGAGAGAAAGCAGCTCTGCACAAAAGGACCTGGAGGTCCTGTGTGCCCCTGCAGGGAAGAAGCCAAATGGTTCACTGGGCAGTATTAGCAAGAGTGTAGCTAACAAGACACTATTCACATCTGGAGTACTGTGTCCAGCTGTGAACTCACCAGTACAAAAAATACATTAACAAACTTGAACAAGTTGAGTGAAAGGCCACCAAGGTCATTCAACTGGACCAAAGACATCCAAGGAAAGATTGAGAGATGACTTTGTTCAGTATGAAAGCGGAAGTTGAGGGGGACCCACCTGTAGCCATCAGGCAACTAAGAGGAGGATGTAGTGAAAATGAAGCCAGACTCTTCTTGAAGGCTTACAGTGAAAGGAAAATAAAAAACAGTCACAAGTTGCAGCAGGTGAAATTCCAGTTAGATACAAATTTTTAAAAAACTTCCACAGTGAAGGTGGTCAAATATTGGCCAAGTGCCCAGAGGGGCTGGGAGATCTTCATCTTTGGGAATATTTAAAATATGTCTGGACAAGACTCTGATCAACCTAATGTCCCTTTAAAGTTAACCCTGCAATGAGCAGTGTATTGGGCCAGATGAGTTCCAGAGATCCTTTTTGACCTAAGTTGCTCTATGACTTTATTCTGTGATGTTGAAAAGTATTCAGATCACCTTTTGTAAAAGTTTTGGG